ATATATTTTATATATGAAATACAAATAATCCTCCTACAAAAAATATAATACTATGACAAAATTGTTTAAAAACTTTTGTACAACACTTTACTACTACAGCACCGAATATAACATGATATTTACCCATATAATATAACATATATTTAAAAATTAAATTATCTTTTCAAAATAATAAGGCTTATATGAATAATTAATTTGATGTCTCATAAAACACGTTATTCACACAACACTATATTTTCTAGGGACCTATCACATCTATCGTATTATAAAAGGGTTACCACCCTTTATATCAAAGGTTGTCAGTGTTGAATCTTTCTCCCAAACCCCATATATATATATATCATTCGTTCGAATCACATCTAGTGCTTCATTTTCGTTGACGAGTGACACGATATCGTATGCTAGTCACCCTTTTTTCCCCCCTTTTGAAAATATACGTATCAAAGCAACTAGGAATGTTTAATTTCGTTCTTTGCTTTCGACTACTACTACTACTACTAGCGTAAAAGTATAGATGGATGTATGGATAAATGGATGGATGGATGAAAGGGCATATCTTTTTCGTTTTCCTTTTTTTTTTATATCCTCTTTCCTGCTTATTCATAATAAAAAATGTATTTACATTGTGAATAGAAAAATTTTATCCAAACATTTGCGCATCTTTCCAAGATTTTCCTTCACTCAAAGGAATCGAGGTTGCAATAATATATATATATATATTATTTATTTATTCTTCTTTGTATTCCACACACTTATAAAAAGAAAAGAAATAAAGAATAATGGGGGAAGATAAAGAAAAAAAAACAAAAACAAAAAAAAAGTATCTAAAACATTTCAAAGGATGAGATTTTTGGTCAATTACTGCGTTCCTTTCTCGTTTCCGAATGAAAATAAATCCCCTTTCCCACCCCCTTCCTCACCCTATCCCACGAACACGAAGGGGGAGGAGTTCAATTTTATTTCACAGACTCGAGACAAAACAACCAGCAGCACACACAACTCGTACGAAAAAAAAATTCTTTTCTCTGCATTGGAAATTCGCACGTGTGTGTGTATGTGTGTGTGTGCACACTTTCAACGAGTGTCAGGGAGGGTGTGAGGAGAGCATAGTCGACAAAATCGACGAAAACGTGCGTCAACGAAATAACAATCGCGGTGCAACAACAGTAATAGCAACAACAACAACAACAACAACAACAACAGCAACAGTAGCAAAAGCAACCAATGCTCGTTATTTTACGAGACCAAACATGAATTTACGTTCTATTAAATCTTTTTTTCCACTAGAAAGGTTAATATCGGTCACCAATTCTGAAAAAAAAAAAAAAAAAAAAAAA